GTCAGAGAAAAAAATACTTTAGAATAGAAGTAATCCTATTATTTGCAGATTTTTAATATTTCCTACAACTTTTGTGATATTATACTATGTTAGTACAGTTTTGATATTATATTTAAAATCTTTTTTCTTGAAATATTAATGCTTATTGCATGTAAATGGCTAATTATTTTGTATCTACAATCTGGTAATAGATTTATTTTGTATTGGAAAAAAATGACATCAAGGAAAACATCAAAAATACCCTGAACCCAATGAAAATGAGAACACAACAAACCCAAATCTGTGGGACAAGGGAAAGCAATCCTAAGAGGGAAATTCATAGCATTACAAGCTTATCTCAAGAAACAAGAAAAAGCTCAAATAAACAGTCCAACTTTAGACTTAAAGGAACTAGAAAAAGAATAGCTAACAAAGACCAGAGTGAGTAGAATGAAGGAAATCATAAAGATCAGAGCAGAAATAAACAAAGTAGAGCCTAAAAAACAATAAAAAAGATCAATGACACCAAGAGCTGGTTCTCTGAAAAGGTAAGACTGACAAACCTTTAAACAGACTCATCAAGAAAAATGTAAAAGAACCCAAATAAATAAAATCAGAAATGAAAGAGAGAAGTAACAACTGACACCAAAGAAATACAAAATATTGTAAGAAAATGTTATTAACAACTATATGCTAACAAGTTGGACAATGTGGACAAAATGGATAAATTCCTAGAAACATACAATCTTCCAAAACTACATCAGGCAGAATCAGAGAATCTGAACAGACAGATTACAACTAGTGAAATTGAGGCAGTAATAAAAAAAACTCCCAACAAATAAAAGCCCTGGACCAGATGGCTTTACAGGTTATTTTTACCAAACATTTTCAAACTGTTCCAAAAATTTCAAGAGGAGGGAAGACTCCCAAGCTCATTTTACTAGACCAACATCCTAATTCCAAAACCAGATACAGACACAACAAAGAAAGAAAATTATAGGCCAGTATCCCTAAGAAATATAGATGCTAAAATCCTCAAAAAATATTAGCAAAGCAACCATACATTAAAAAGATAATACACCACGATCAAGTGGGATTTATTCCAGGGATGCAAGGTTGGTACAATATCCACAAAACAATAAACATGATACATCACATAAACAAAATGAAGGATAAAAACCACATGATCATATCAATATATGCAGAAAAAGCATTTGATAAAATCCAACACCCATTTATGATAAAAACTCTAAGCCAAGCATGTCAAACTCAAAGGCTAACATGGGCCAAATGAACAAGGTTTAAGTTTCTGTGGGCCACAAAAAAAACAAAAGCTTCAATTTTCATAAAAATATGTTTATTTTGATAAAACAACAACAACCAATTCCATTAACAATTGCTTTAAAAAAGAAAAAATAACTAAGAAAAAATTTAACCAAAGATGTACAAGACCTGTAATTGGAAAATTATATGACACTGAAGAAAGCAATTGAAGAAGATACAAAAAGTGGAAGCATATACTGTACTCATGGATAGGAAGAATTAACATCATTAAAACGTCCATACTACCCAAAGCAATTTACAGATTCAATGCAATTTCTATCAAGAAACCAATGACATATGACACAGAACTAGAACAAGTATTCCAAAAATTCAAAAGATCTCAAATAGCAACAGCGATCTTGAAAAAGAACAAAGTTGGAGGAATCACACTACCTGATATCGAACTATATTGCAAGGCCATAATAATCAAAACAGCATGGTACTGGCATAAAAACAGACATATAGATCAATGGAACAGAATAGAGGGCCCAGAAATAAACCCACACCTTTAGGTATAGGTTGAGTAAAGAATGTACACTCCTGTAATTTGGCATGGCAAGAATGTGTATGTTTCTCCTGGGTCCACTGATGCTGTGTAGAAAGCGACATCCAGGTTTGACACCCAAGGGGAAAGAAATTCTAGCAGCAAGAGGCTGGATATACTTCTGAAAGGGGGAACTGAGAGAGACTGAAAGAGAGAGAGCTGCAGGCTAGGCTGATCTACCATGTCAAAGAACTGTGCAGGGCACAGCCTGCCTCAGTTTCTAGAACTCTTGTGCCCATTAATGCGTGACCATTTAGATGCAACATGGATAGTACTTATCCAGCAAAGAAAAATGTATCCCTTTCTTCCAATTTCCCTTCCAGTCCCCACCCCACACCACACCAGAGAGAAAGGGCCTTGAAAAGAGAGGGAAATAATTGATTAAAAACAAACCCCACCTTCTGTCTTCAAAGTTCCTGAGTCACAGTTCAGTCAGAGAACACTTGCCTTGGAACTGAGATTGGATTTTAAACCAAACATACTTTTATTTTTTGTTAATCCTCACCCGAGGATATTTTTCCATTGATTTTTAGAGAGAGTGGAAGGGACAGAGGGAGACAGAGAGAGAGAGAGAGAAACATGGATGTGCGAGAGACACATCTATTGATTGCCTCCCACATGCATCCTGGCCAGGGACAGGAATCAAGCCTGCAACCCAGGTATGTGCCCTTTACTGGAATCGAACCAGGGACCCTTCAGTCTGCAGGCCAACACTCTAACTACTTAGCCACATCACCTAAGGCAAATGAGACACACTTTTAATAACCAAGAGTGTGGAGGAAAAGATTAAAGAATATATTCAAGATGTCTTTAAGGAATTTTCTACTCAATGCTGCTTAATCACCTAAGGATCTCATTAAAACAACATTTCCAACTCAGTGAATGTGGGATAGGGCCAGAGATTCTGCATTTCTAACAAGCTCCCGGGGGATGCTTCTGATTCCAGGACCACACTTTGACAGACAAGGCACTATAAAGTAAGGAAGGGAGCTTCAAAAGAGCACAGTTGGCAGCAAGGAAGAGAGAAAAAAAATACTGGGTTGGAACATATGAAATATCCATTTTTGTAGGTCAAAAACAGTTGAATATTGGCAACTAAAAAAAATCTTGTCCCGCTGGGGTGGGTCAGTGGTTGAGCATCAACATATGAACCAGGAGGTCACTGTTCGATTACTGGTCAGGGCACATTTCCTGGGTTTCAGGTTCAATCCCCAGTAGGGGGTGTGCAAGGGGCAGAGATCAATGATTCTCTCTCATCATTGATATTTCTACCTCTCCCTCTCCCTCTCCCTTCCTCTCTGAAATCAATACAAATATATTCTTTAAAAATCTTTTGTTTGTATCCCATCAAATAAAAAATTCATAAAATGGGAAACACAATTTTGGAATTAAATAATGCCTCTGCATTCTAACAACTACTTATTCCCTACTTAAATCAGAATATATAAATGAAGAATCATAAGGAAATAGTACTGACCTGTGTACACAGGCAGGAGTACTTGCCAGAAGTGTGTGTGTGTGTGTGTGTGTGTGTGTGTGCGCGCGCGCGCGCGCCTTTAAAAATGGCTGGGGCTGGAATTACAGCCAGCCACCTTTAAAAGGCTATAGTTTTAGGATTTTTACAAATGTTAAAGTCTTCATGAACTGTGATTGTGGATAAAAACTTACTGCCACCTGCTGGATTTGAGTTTTAAGAGTTAAAAGGTAAATATGCATCTTTTTATTCAGATATCTTAAATACTATTTATTAGTACGTTCTCTGTTCATTTTAATTTTAAAAAGAAAATAGATAAATATATACTTACTAGAAAAGGATTGCATTTAGGGGGACTTTCTCCATTTGATTTCAATTGAAGGGGAAAATAATATTCATATTTATATGCATTAGATGGCATTAAAGTTACATTTTAAGTTTATGATTATATGGCTTCTCCTTTCATTTCCACGATGCTTTTATTTTGAATAGAAATGTATCCATTTATTTGTCAAAGCGAACTTCAGGAGTTGGATCAGTATAGGTAATTATTTCTCTTATATGTGTGCAGAATGTTGAAATAAAGACCATCACATGCAACTCACAACTTTCCTTCACAATTTTCTTTCCCTTTATCCCAAGCTGTATATTTTCAAGAGCCCTTCTTTGCTATCTTAGAAGAAAGGTGTTTTCTTAATTCTTCCCAAAGTTAGACCATTTGATGTTACCCTACCTGCTGAAATGCATTATAATTACCTTACTCAAATCTCTGTTTCTTAGTGGTTAGAGCATCTACACACTGAAGGGTCACAGGTTCAATTCCCAGTTAAGTGCAAGTACTTGGGTTGCAGTTCAATCCCTATCCCTGTTCGAGGCCTGTGCAGAAGGCAACCAATTGATGTGTCTCTCTCACATCAATGTTTCTCTCTTTCTCCTCTCTCTCTCTCTCTCTCCTCCCTTCCTTCCACTATCTCTAAAAAATCAATGGGAAAAATATCCTCAGGTGAGGATTAACAAAAATAAAAAGTAAAAATAAATATAAATGGTGTTCATTATTAAACCAAATTAAAACATCCTGCAGGCCTTCTGCAGTATCCTAATATTATATGTTTTCTGTTGGTGATTTATTCTGGTATTACTATTAAAACATAGGTAAACTTCACAATATGTTTTTCTCCCTTCTCCTGATTTAGAAATTTGCATGTCATATAGTTCTAATGATTCTATAGTCTATTAATGACAGTATTTATTCATTTTATAACTTAATAATAGAAATATTAAAACAATAATAAGTGGATGTGTTTCTTATGTACTTTTCAGAATGTTTAAATTGCATTTTTATATTGAGTGGTTAATTTTTTTTAATAAGTGAGAAATTTCAAAGAAAAAGCGTATGGTCACAAATTTAAGTATTTACACGCAAGGCCCCTAAATAATAGACTTTAAAATTTATTACTATAAATTAAATAAAATTTCATTGTTCTCTTTCATCATTCTCATTCATAGGACTTGTAATATCATTTTTGTCCAAAGTGGTTCAGAAAAAGGATAAGCCAGAGAAAAATAATTTAAGGATTCAGTATACATTCTGGTTTTGTTAGAGGCAATTTCTGAAATACCTGAAAGTTTTTGAAGTGATGTCTAAGCTATAATTCTAACATGAAACTGACAATAAATCTATAAATTTTCTGATCTCTGATTATAAAGGCAGTGACAAATAAAGCATTCAGTACATAAACACTTTAAAGCTATTTATTAACTATTTCCCTCTACTTGGTATCGTCATCATCACTGTTTGAACTATCAGTGTCATCATAAATAGAAGTGTTTCTTATTGAAGATACCATCACATCTATAATGCCTTTTTTGGGGTTTTCTTCCAAATCAGTCTGTATTGCTCCAACTTCTGCTAACTTCCATTCAAGTTCTGCAATAATAACCCATCATTAAATTAGATTAAAATCTTAGAAAAATGAAAAGAATTTCTCATCTATATGAAAAGAGTTGATTCTAATAAAATTAATGTGAAAAGGGTATATTTTTACTGCAAAATACATATTTTAATTCAAAATGAATTGACAGTAATGCACCATAAATTCTTATTTTGACACTCACCAAAATAGTCACCTGAAAAACCCATTTTTTTGTGACAAAGTACAGAAGGCTTGGTCACATTTAAATCACTGAGAACTAGAGAGAAATACTATTGGAAAGGGTATATTTAGAACCAGATGACAATGAAAGCACTAAAATATCAAAATATGCATTGGATAGAGCAAAATTATACTTAAAGGGGGAAATTTTGGTTAAAATTTTTATTTTAAAATGATTGAAAATAAGTTGTTTGAAAGTTCAAATCAAGAAGCTAAAAAAAAGAACAATAAAGTAAACCCAAGAAAATCAGAAAGAGGGATATACAGAAAGAAAACACTCAACAAAGTAGGAAAACAAAGTAAGTAGAGGTGACCAACAAAATAAAAAGCTGGTGGCTTGAAAAGTCTAATAGACACACCTCACACAACAATGGTGATAAGAAAAGGGGGGGAAAAACCAATAATACCAAGAATTGACCTTGGACATAACCAAAGTAAAGATTTTAAAGCTCTGAGACTACTTATGAAAACACTAATGCCAATATATTTGAAAACTTTAATGAGAAAATTTCAACAAAAAATATGAAATACCAAAATATATCCAAGAGAAAAACTGAAAAGAATTGACTTGATAACCCCAAATTCCCCCATTCCCACAAATTCACCATTTTGTAAATTTTATTCCTAAGCACTGAGTAGATGAACAGAATATGAGGAAAATTACAAAATATATTACATTACAATATATAATATATACATATTATGTTTATGAGGAAAACTATAAAAGGCCTAAATAAGTGACAAGAGAGATCTCATTCGTGGATAGAAATATCCACTGTAATTAGGATATGAAGTCTCTAACAATTACTCTAATAAATAATCAACAGGATTTTTCACAGAACTTGACTGATTCTAACATTTATATGAAATTTTGAAAAAGACTTGGCCTACTAGAGACAACTAGATTGTTATAAAGCTATAGTTATAAAGCTAAGACCATACTACATTGATTCAGAGATAAGCAAATAGTAGAGATGTCAGAAACAAACTAAAGTATTTTTGAACCATAAAAAATAATATAGGAAACATTTAAAATCAGTAGGGAAAATACCTCACACACATTAAGACGGCCACAATAAAAACAAACAAACAAACAAAAAAACAGAAAATAGCAAGTGTTGGTAAGAATGTGGGACACTGGAATTCTTATACATTGTTGGTGGGAGTATAAAATGGTGCAGTTAGTATGGAAAACAGTATGCTGTTGGTCAAAAAATTGTAACAGAATTACCATATGACTCAGCAATTCTACTTCCAAGTATATACCCAAAAGAATTGAAAACAGGGACTAAAACTGATTATTTGTACGTGTTCATAGCAGCATCATTCTCAATAACCAAAAGATAAAGGCAACTCAAGTGTCCATCAACAGATAAATGGGTAAGCAAAATATGGCATAAAAATACAACGGAGTATTATGCAGCTTTAAATAGGAAGGAAATTCTGATACATGCTACAACATGGATGAACTTTGAGGACATTATGCTATGTGAAATAAGTTAATCACAAAGGAACAAATACTGTATGATGTACTTATACAATGTACTGAGAGTAGTCAAATTCAGAGTCAGGAAGTAGAATGGTAGTGGCCAGGGGCTACAGGGAGAGGGGAGTGGGGAGTTATTGTTTAATTGGTATAGAGTTTCAGTTATGAAAGATCAAAGTATTCTAGAGATGGATAATGGTGGTGGTAGCACAATAATGTGAATGCACACAATGCCACTGAACTCTATACTTGAAAATGGTTAAATAACTTATTTATTTACAAAATAAAGTCCTGGATATATAATGTATATCATGGTAACTGTAGTTAATAGTACTGCATTATGTATTTAAAGATGTTTAAGATGGTAAATTTCATATTATGCATATTTTATGACAATTTAAAAATATTTTTATTGATTTCAGAGAGGAAGGGAGAGGGAGAAAGAGATAGAAACATCAAAGATGAAAGAGAATCATTGATTGGCTGCCTCCTGCATATCCCCTACTGGGGATCAAGCCTGCAACCCAGGCATGTGCCCTTGACTGGAATCGAACCAGGGACGATTCAGTCAGCAGGCTGACGATCCACTGAGTCAAACCAGCTAGGGCTAAAAATATTTTTAATATACTAGTAAAAAAGCCTGGACCAGATAACATATTATTCATGATAGTGATTGTCTCTAGGGAGGAAAGGAGGGAATGGTCCTAGGAATGGAAATATAGGTAATTTCAACTATATCTGTAAAGTTTATTTCAGCAATTTAACAAAATAGCTGAAGCAAACACGAACAAACGTTCACATTTGTTATTTTTGGTAATTACATGAATGAGTGCTATATTATTGTTTTTCCTATTATTTTTTTAAAAAATATTAAATAAAGGAATAAGGTTCAAGCTGAAAAAAACAGGGTGATAAAACAAAGAGGGCCCTAGAGACTAGGAGAAGGAAAGGGGGTAATTCAGGAACAATTAAGGTATTGGAGGCCTCAGTAAGGCCAAAAACAGTTTTAAGGGAACTAAAGAGTGGATAAACTAGCTGTTAAAAACAATTATTCACAATGGCTTTAACACAATGGTAAGAGAAAAAGATTTGTATAATATGAAATTAATGCAGTTCCAAGTAATGACTTGATGAAGGATATGGCCTCAGAACTAAGTCAGGAAGTAAAAATCATTAAGGAAGGTAGAAATATCAAGTCCTGTGTTATGTACTATGAAAAAGAAAATAATAGGATATATGGTCCTTGTACTTATTAGGGAGACAAAATTCAAATGGAATTAATTAACCAACAAAATCAGATAGTATGTGGATAAGTGAAAAGTGAGTTGTATAGAGAATATATGCTATAGAAATTCAATAGAGAACAGGAAGACAGATTATGAATTGGTCCAAAATCATATCATGGGATAAATGGAAAACTAGGAGGACCCACGAGGGAATAGGATTTGGAAGCAAGAATAAAGAGTAGGTTATTTGGGGCACAGGGAAAGAGTATGAAATGAAGTCTAAAGGAACAAATGAGTGTGTCTGGGGTAGTGGTTGAAGTCCAGCCTGGCTGCACAGAAACTGGAAAGCATTGAGAAATACAGTTAGATAAGTGGGCTGAAATTCTCAGGCAGAAGATTCCGAATTTTTAACTTATTTGAGACAAGGAACCAATAAGGACTTAAAGAATTGGGTGTTATGATAAGAATATTATTATAGGAAATTAATCTAGAGGAATACAAGCAGAGACTGGAAGAAAAGGAAAGCAATCTTATGGAAATAAACTTTCACGATATTTGTTAATTTAGTGAAGTTTCACTTCTTTTTTTTAAACAAATTTTAAAAATAATATAATTACCTTCTAGCTTGAGATTTAGTCCTCCACATTCTATAATTCCAATGAATTTGCCTTCTATCTGACCGTTTTTATAAACAAAAATTGTTGGTAAACAAGTATCATGGTAGTGTTGAATACAGCTATTCACGATGGCTTTAGTAAATTTAGTTTCTGGAAACTTTCTTGCTAGAAGACGAAGATGCTGATTAACCAACAAACACATTGGTATGCTAAAAAGAAAAACAGTACATACATGATCTTTAAAAAACAAACTACTCATCTCAGTCTAATAAAATAAGTGAAACATCTCCATAACAAAAATATATCTTTAGATATTCTTTTAATAAGCCCATATCAGTATTGTCCTCTATTGTTACCTTCAGTCCTCTGATTTTCATTACAAACACCAAACAGCCTGGGAATAAAGCTAGCTACCATGGGAATTTGATGCCTAACTAAGGCTAACCACATCTGACTTAGCATCAGTTTAATCAAGCCAGTTCCTACTTTATATGACACTAGAGGCCCAGTGCACAGATTCATGCATCAGTGGGGTCCCTCAGCCTGGCCTGTGCCCTCTCACAATCTGGGACCCTTCAGGGGATGACGGACTGCCGGTTTCAGCTTGATTCCTGCAGGGATGTAGTAGTGCATGAAGTGGCAGGTGGCTGGGGAGGAGCCCGAGCTCGGGCCAGGCGCCATGCAGCTGGCCCCACTGCGCCTGCCACAGCTGCTTGGTAGTGCTGTCATGGAGGTGGGAAAGGCTTGTGTCACTGCAGCTGTGCTTGCCAGCTGTGAGCCTGGCATCCGTCAGTCAGCTGAGCAGTGCTCCCGCTGTGGGAGCACACTGACCACCAGGAGGCAGCTCCTGCGTTGAGAGTCTGCCCCCTGGTGGCCAGTGCACGTCATAGCAACCGGTCAACCTGTGGTTTGGTCGTTTGGTTGCTTAGGCTTTTATATATATAGATAAGAGAGAGAGAAAAAATGACACTTCTAGGGAACCCATGGCAGTTCAGAATTGAAACAAAGGAATTCCAACTCTTATCACCATCAAAGGTTTATTTTCACATGAGATTATCAAATCCAAAACTCCTTATCTCCAACTTCCTTGTTTTTCTTGACTCTAACAAACATCACCCACACTTTTCCTTGACATCCCACTCCATACCACATTCTGTTCTCCTTAATCCAGAACTATTCCTCATTAGAAATTTAAAATTGATTGGAAGTGTAACCAAATCCTGTGATTTTTCCTGCTTTATCACTTATCTTCCATTACCTCCATTTTTCCCTTTTCTCCCAGTCTATCATTCACTCACAGCTTTATTAAAATGTTTCAAAGCTAGTCCTCTATTCATCCCATACTTCTTGCATTTCCTATGGGACTTTTCTCTGTTATTCTGCTTCCCTCCTTTCCTGTTTTCTCAATCTTTCCTTCTCCACTTTACATAAACACATTCAAGTCAGTAAATTTTTTAAAATTCCCTTACAACTCTCTGTCCCCTTCTAATAACTACTCTCTCTCCTTCTGTTCACAGCCCAGATGAAAAAGAAAATAAAAATCTATATGTTCTGTTCACTTCCATTCTTGAAAGGCCCTCTTATTTTGGCTCCTGGGAAAATACTTTCTATTGATTTCCTTTTTATTTCTTTGACTACCTTCTCCTATCTATGCCTCAAACATACATGTTCCTTGGGATTGTGTTCTGAACCCTCTTATCAGTTCAGACACACTCTGGGCAATCTTATCCATTTTGACATATACAGTTAATGAACTTCATTTCCCCTCCTCTCTTAACAGCTAAAACAAAAATCTAATCTTTCTCCTCTATTTTCTTTTAATAAACCTAAATTTGCTAGAAGTGTAGCTTTCCTTTTTGTCTTTGTACTCATTTCCCCATCATTCATATGGATTATATTTGAAATAGTGTATGAGAAGAAAAAGATTAGTGTAAACTGTGTTGATCAGGGAAAGCTCCTTTGAACAGACAAAATTAGTTTTTCTCTTGGACTCCCTTTGTATGTCTTTTCAAAAAATATTTTTAAAAATAATATTCAATGTTTAATTAGCCTCTTTCATGATATCATAGAAGCATCCTATTTCCCTTTAGTATTTTCAACTCCTAAAACCTGTCACACCCATAGTCTAAGCTCACTTACTGAGTGACTTATGCCAGGGCATGCTGCATGCTCCAGGCAGATGAAGACCCTTCTAGACTTTTGTGTGTTCTTCCTGTTTGTGGGACAAGAAAAATCATTGTAGTTCTTGTGAAAATCAAATGCATGCTTTAAGAAAACTTGATAAAAGTTACTAAGAAAAAAATGATGGTTAGATGTGGGCCAGACAAATGTAAATAATCAGAGAAAAATACAGATTTCTGCACTCAAATTGCTTTGCATGTATTTGAGTTCTTGTTCCATTTAAACAAATCCTGATAATGGAAATCAATGAAAATGCACTAAGTTCTAAGTGAAATAAGCCAGTCAGAGAAAGATAAATATCACATGATCTCACTCATTTATGGAATATAATGAACAACATAGACTGATGAACAAAAACAGATCCAGAAACAGAGAAGCATTGATAAGACTGCCAAACCTCAGAGGGAAGGTAGGGGAGGGTGGGGGTAAGGGGGAGAGATCAACCAAAGGACTTGTATGCATGCATATAAGCATAACCAATGGACACAGACAACAGGGGGGTGAGGGCATGAGTGGGGGGTTGGGGGGAAAAGGGGGGGGATAAGGACACATATGTAATACCTTAATAAAGAAATTAAAAAATAATAATAAATAAATAAAAATTATTTTTAAGTGTAAAAAAATGCACTAAGTTCTAATCAACATCTGGGAGAGGAATTTTATATATTATTCTCAATATATTTTTACTAAACTTGTTTCACAAATTTCAACAAAGTGGGTGCAGAAAAAAATGTATGTCAACATTATAAAGGCAATATATGACAAGCCCACAGCTAACATCCTACTCAATGGTGAAAAGCCTCTCCTGTAAGATCAGGAATAAGACAAGGATGCCCACTCTCACCACTTTTAATCAACAGAGTATGAGAAGTCCCAACCAGAGCAACTAGGCAAGAAAAAGAAATGGAGGGCAACCAAAATGGAAAGAAAAAATAGAAGTGTCACTACTTGCAGGTGATATATGTAGAAAACCCAAAAGACTCCATCAAAAAAAAACTATTAGAACTAAAAAAGAAATTCAGTAAAGTTGAAGGATACAAAATCAATATATAAAAATCTGTTGCATTTCTGTACACTAACAAACTATCAGAAAGATAAAGAAAACAATCCCTTATACAACTGCATTAAAAAAAATAACTAGAAATAAGTTTAACCAATGAGAAGAAAGACCTATGTATTGAAAACTACATTAATGAAGGAAATTGAAGAAAAGAGCAAATAAATGGAAAGATATTCCATGCTAATGGATTGGGAAAATCAATTTTGTTAACATGTCCATACTACCCAAAGCAATATACAGATTCAGTGCAATCCCTATCAAATTCCAATGACATTTTTCAAAAAAATAGGACAAATAATCCTAAATTTGTATAGAACCACAAAAAATACCTGAATAGCCAAAGCAATCTTGAGAAAGAACAAAGAAAGAGGCATCACACTCCCTGATTTAAAACTATACCACAGAGCTATAGTAATTAAAATAATGTGGTATTGGCATAAAAACAGATACAGTGGAACAGAATAGAGAGCCCAGAATTAAACCCACACATATATGGTCTATTATTTTATGACAAAACAGCCAGCCAAGAATATACAATGGGAAAAGGACAATCTGTTCAATAAATAGTGCTGGGAAAACTGGACAGCCACATGCAAAAGAATGACATTTGACCACTATCTTACACCTTAGATAAAAATTAACTCAAAATGGATTAAAGACTTGAACATAGGACCTGAAACCATAGAACTCCTCGAGGCAAACATAGGCAGTAAGCTCTTTGACATAGGTCCTGGCAATTATTTTTTTAACCTGAAACCAGAAGCAAAAACAACAAAAACACAAATAAATAAATGGGACTACATTCTATTAAAAAGCAAAGCAAAAGAACCATCAACAAAATGAAAAGTCAATCGACTGAATAGGAGAAAATATTTTCAATTCATATATCTGATAAGGGGCTAATATCCAAAATATATAAAGAACTCATACAATTCAATAACAAAAAACAACAACAATCAAAAAAATGGGTCAAAGATCTAAATAGATATTTTCCCAAAGAAGACATACAGATGGCCAACAAGCACATGAAAAGATGTTCCACATCATTAGTTATCAGGGAAATGCAAATCAAAACCACAATGAGTAATCACTTCACCTGTCAGAATGACTGTTATAAAAAAGACAAGAAATAACAAGTGTTGGCAAGGATGTGGAGAAAAGGAAACCATGTTGGTAGGAATGTAATTTGATGCAGTCACTATGGAATACAGTATGGAGGTTCTTCATAAATTAGAAATAGAACTACCATATGATCCAGCAATTCCACTTCTGGGTTTTTAACTTGAGAAAATGAAAGCACAAGATTAAAAAAAAAATGTACCCCTATGTTCATTGCAGCATTATTTACAATAGCCAAGATATGGAAACAACCTAAGTGTCCATCAGTTCATGAATGAATAAAGAAACTGTGATATATATATATATATGCAATGTAACACTATTCAGCCATAAAAAAAGAATGAAATATTTCCATTTGCAACAACATGGACAAACCTTGAGGGCTTTATGCTATATGAAAGAAAGACAAATACCTTAAGATCTCTCTTAAATGTGGAATCTAAAAACAAAACAAAACAACAAAAAGCAGCTCACAGATACAAAAAACAGATTGGTGGTTGCCAGAGGTGGAGGATGGAGTTTGGGAGAAATGGGTGGAGGTCAAAAGGTTAAAAAATACGTCAAAGCAGAGAATTACACACACACAAAATCTTTATCTTCATCTGACATATACAAACATACATTCATTTACTAATCTTTATACTGGCCCATGGGCTGGTCATCGGAGTCCCCCTTAGCTTTTCTCATCTAAACTATACCATAATGCAGTGGTCAGCAAACTCATTAGTCAACAGAGCCAAATATCAACAGTACAACGATTGAAATTTCTTTTGAGAGCCAAATTTTTTAAACTTAAACTATATAAGTAGGTATATTGTTATTAACTTAATTAGGGTACTCCTAAGGCTTAGGAAGAGCCACACTCAAGGGGCCAAAAAGCCGCATGTGGCTCGGGAGCCGCAGTTTGCCAACCACGGCCATAATGTATTGTTTTCTTTATTTTCTTAGTCTTACACCCAGGCCAAAAATCTCCCTTTCGTCTACAGCATCTAATGTTGATTAGATTGATTCTACCTCCTTAGCTCATATCTAGCCTCTCCTCTCTTTCTCCTCTGCCTTACTCCTTTTCTTTCTTATCTGAGCTATGTCAGATTACCCTAAATGGTCTGTTTCCAGGCTTAGTTCTTCAAATTCATCCTTGACCCTGGCTGACAAAGGGAGCTCAGTATGAAAATCTCATCGTGTAACAACTGCCCTTCCCTCAAGCTTAAAATCCTTCAACAGCTCTCACTGCCTTCATGATAAAGTCTGGGCTCCTCAGTGTAGCGTTCAAGGTTCTCCATGTTCTGGCTTCTGCCTATCTCTCCAGCATTACTCTCTGCCCGCTATCATATTACTTAAAGCACTCCAAAGCAAGATGATGTCTCTTATTTATGTACCTTTGTTCAAGCTGTACACTCCACCTAAAATATCCAATTCAGCCTGTCTACTTCCTCCACCTCTGTAAACTTGGGGGATTTTTTCTTATTTTTTGAGGACAGCACCAGGGTAGAACTTAACTACTCCCTGTTTAGTGCCCTCACTCTATAGAACTCAACCAAAGCACACAAAAGACTTTATTACTACATTTAATTGTCTCTTCTCTAGAGTACTGAAATTTCTTTAATGGCAGAGATAGATGCCTTATATATACCTTTGCATCTCTAACACCTACAAAATCTTCAGAAATACTCTTAAGGTAATTGATGTTATATATCAATTTATGGAGCAAGAAGGTAACAAGTTAAGTGACTATATGTTTCATTTACACTTCAGAATTCTTTTGATAATTCTAACCTGCTATAAATGTAGACACTGCTTTATTTTAGTAAGTGGCCTACTAAAAGTAACATTAGAAATGCATGTACTGCCTAACTTAAATATTAATTTTCCAAACAAAACTGCCATAAATTGACTTTATAAGTTTCACTCTTCCTCAAATAGGTGAACTTAATTCACTAATATCAAGTTTAGGTTACTTTTATCATTACTATCAGAATGAGAGCTGAGTCAGTGGTATAATAAACCTTAGGAAGTGAGTGGTGTGAATGGCAGAAGGCAGGCGGGCACTGGTGGTGGCAGTGACGAGTATGGAATTAAGAGAGAATGGCATAACAGACTGTGGTGCAAGGAGACAGTAGCTCCTTGAAGACAGTTATGACAGCAAGTGGTAGGGGAACAAATGTGGATTTGGTGCTTGGGGGCCAGAATTAAACTCCGTGAGAATTATAAAATATCAAGGAGACCTCTAACATCAGAAAACAAGTTAAGAGCATAGTTAATGATAATTGCGAAGAGTGGGGAAAGTCCACTCTTCGCAATTATCATTATGCCAGGCTGATGAGACAGGGGGACATATGGATTATACTTAGTACAACTAGGTACTCTAAAACTAACTAGGTATGCGAGATTCAACATATGCAGTTAGGTATAAGAATAATACAGAAGTTCCTCCTCCTACCTCGCCAAAGTCAGAATTTGGACACAGATGTAAGATTTCATAAAATCAGAAGCAAAGCTAATTTTAAGCTGAGCCACTAGGGTCAGTGGCCCAGGGTTAGTTAGATCCCTCTAAGGTACTCTGTGTAGGCTGAATCTTCACTTGGATAAGGAATGGGCCCAGTTCTAGAAATTTAGTGGCAAAGAAGTATTAAAATGATAAAACTTAGGAACCTAGTTAAAAAACAAACTCTTACCCTCCTAGAGTTACAAAAGGCAGCTAGAAATACAAGCTTAATAGTTATGCTTCATTTTATAATATTAAATTATAACTATTATAAAGAATATTATGCCCTAGCTGGTTTGGCTCAATGGCTAGAGCATCGGCCTGCGGACTGAAAGGTCCCAGGTTTGATTCCAGTGAAGGGCATGTACCTTGATTGCAGGCACATCCCCAGTAGGAGGTGTGCAGGAGGCAGCTGATCGATGTTTCTCTCTCATTAATGTTTCTAACTCTCTATCCCTCTCCCTTCTTCTCTGTAAAAAACCAATAAAATATATTAAAAAAAAGAAAACTAATATTTTATGTAACTTTATTATATTGCCCAAAAGAACTTCTGAGCTCACAGATACTTAAAGTATTATAAAAATGGATCCTTAGACTTTAAGTCCATCAAAGCACACAGCAGTTTGAAACCTGACACTAAAACTCATTCAACCTCTTCTATAAGTTTTTGAAAATTATTGGTCAAAACCAGTAATTTATCTAGAAATAACCATTAAAATAATTTTATACCAGGGTATGGTAATTCAGAACCAATATCTATTCTGCTTATCATAATGGGTTTCAGGAGAAACATTCGGTGTACCACTTCAGTATATAACATTTATGACACACAAATCTTAGTATTGTAAATGTTGCTATTTCATATACTTATTTGTAAAGGACCCACATCAGCAAATCTCCAAATTGGGTTATCCAGATAGTGGAATAGGATAAATGGGAAATGATTATTTTTAAACTATTAAAAAATTATTTACCAAGCATTTTAGTTACAGTAAAATTAATGTCTTCTTTTATGGGGTATGATTCCTATCAAAATTTGTCAGAGGAACTGGTGAGCTGGTAAACAGCAGGGCTCTAGCTTGCTCTGTATAGAATTTCTCTGAGGACCTGAAGAAAGAAGATATTTTTTATTCAGAGAATGAAATAAGGACAACAAGGGCTACTGCCACAGCCTCCGTTCCTGGATCGGGTTAGAGCCCAAGCAGAGAGAGGGCTTGGGACCTAACACTAGAGGTGCTGTTTCTATGAGAGATTTGTGAAACTGGGAGGTTGCAGCTCCTCTTTGGCACAGACTTGGGGAAAGTCCACTCTTCGCAATTATCATTATACCAGGCTGATGAGACAGGGGGACATATGGATTATACTTAGTACAACTAGGTACTCTAAAACTAACTAGGGGAACAGGGACATGCAAGGAAATTGTTCTGTTAAAAGAGACAAGGGATATGATATATTCAAATGCACTGCCTGAGCATTGATTGGATTCAATTAAAAAATGTATGTATTTATAAAAGACATTTTGAAGTCAGTTGGGAGAATTTGAGTAAGAGCTGTATATTAGACACTATTAAAAATGATTGTTAATTTTGTTAGGTGAGAAAATGGTATTATGGTGATATAGAAAAATGCCCTTATGTTTTGAAAATGCATGCTAAAGTACTTAAAAGTGTCATGGTGTGTGTAATTTACTTTTAAATCATTCTGTAAATACACGCAAATGATACAAATATGGCAAAATGTTAACTGTTGAATCTACCTGGCCAATATTTAGGGGCCTCATTTTATCCTTATATCTATTTTTCTATACGTTTGAAATTTTCCATATGTTTTATTTAAATTAACTGCTAAAGAATGCTTATTTTTCTAAAAAGTATGTCAAGTTTTTAAAATTAAACAAGAAAATATATTAAAATACCTAATTTAATTCCTACAGCCAATGACTCTATACATATATTCTTATTTTCTTTTGTGAGTAGTCTTTGTTATATGCTTTATAAACCCTAAAAACCAGTGATATGTTCTTAAAACATTAGTATATTAATATTTTACAAAAAGGTAATTACCTTGACCTGTATAGATGAATTATAACCCATACATCTTTGTCTGCATTTGTGACTTCATTCACATATTGATTTCCAGAAATTTCTATTAACTCCCCAAATTTTTGTTTTTTCTTAAGAGCTTTCCATTCCTGTAACCGCTTTTCTCTAATTAAAAAAATAAAATTACATAATAAAATTGTTATATTCTTAAGGTCATTCCCATCTACAGTAACAATTTAGGGTAATGAATGTAATGCTAGTACATATCAAACACTTAAAAAATTACAGAATAACTTTTAATGGTGTTATAATGCCAATTTATCTGTTTATATGGAAATCTGTGTTGTCATTAGTGTTGCAAGTAAGAAGTTAGCGACTGACTTCTAAATTTATTTTTATTTAAGTCTAGGTCTTAATCATAGCTATAGAGAGTTTATTTAGATACTGAACCAACAAATTCTCCTATACAGGTTAAATACTTGTATATAATAATCATAACAATGGCTAACATTTATGGAGTGCTTATTATGTTGCCAGGCACTATTTTAAGTGCATTACATTAGCTTAACCTTGCAAAAAACTGTGTAAAGTTAATATTATTTTTATCCCTATTTATGTGCTCTCAACTATCATGCTAAACTGACCTTCAGTCTAAAGCCTTTGTGAATATGTATAATTACTTGTTATAAAATTTATTACAGGTAGAGAAGTGATAAAGAAGAATGATGAGTTTGAACTCTACGGTGAGACTAGACTAGGTTTAAATACCAGTTCCTAGTTCCTAGCAGCATGAATTTGGGCAAGTTATTTGATTTCTCTAAGCTTTTTCAAGGAGAATAATACCAATACCTACTTGCATGGGGTTGTTGGGAATTGAATGAGATAATACAGGTAAATTTCTTAGGATGGTGCCTAGCACACAGTGAGCATTCCATGTTACCTGGTTATTCATCCACAGAGAGCCTTAAAGCTTTCTTAATCAATTCTCAAAATTTACATACTCTGACTCAGTTGTTGAATGCTCGGATTCATGAAGCAGATCTAAATGTTTTCTGATGTGCAAATGTCTTAAAAGTTACCGATTCTATATCCCTAAGTTATCTTGGGAATACTTTCTTCCCTTCTTTCTGTGTATTAACTGTATTTTCTTATTTTCTGTATTCTTGCCTTTGCTGATCCTGGACAGACTATCCCTCCCAGGTCTAACTAATTATGAAAGATAGCAACCTCCTGCTGGAGAGCAAATTCCTCAGATGCAAACCGACCAGTCCAGAGCCCAACCTCTCAATCACCTCTTTTATTAAACTGCGCCACTAACCCTCTGCCCTAATTATCCCTGGGCCAGATACCAGACAACTAGAGACAGCCACTGTAGCCCACAGCCTGCCAAAATGATTCAAACTAGCCAATCCTAAATCTGCTTACCCTGCTTAGCTTGTCTTTCCCACGGAAACCACAATGAAGGCTGGTGTCCATGTCATCCCTTCACTCCTGCCTCTCAACCAACTCCAGTGCTTCCCTGTGTGGCCTAGGATTGTGGTGCATGCCCCCTGTTCTTGAGAACTCTGAGTAAAAAACTCTTTTCAATGTCAATTATCTCCTGATCTGTTGGCTTCACTCGACATGAATAGATACAAAATCCTGGGTATATTTTAAAACACTCTGTCCTTATTTTACTAATTAGAAACATGTTAGGTGAAACAACTCTACGTAACAAGTAATCCAAGCAAAACGAAGCCTAGAGGAGAATGCCAAGAATAATGACCCACATCTAGGGAGGGCCCCTCTCACAATTTGAAGGACTTCAAACTGAAGTCCTTCCATTTTCCCTCTATTGACCCAGATATTCAGAGTTTAGTTCCTCCAAAGATCTTCTGGGAGCTGATTTTTTGGCACTGAGTATTTAATATCAAATTCCTCAATTTGATCTCACTGGCTCAATATCTTTCAAAATTTTCAAAAAGTTTGTGTTCCCTACTTAATGGTGCAACTACCAACTATATCTCTTTCTCCTCCCCTCTTCCACCTCTCTTCCTCATTGTTCTTTGCTCTGTCAATGGAATTAGTCAGGGAGAGACAGGAAGACCTGGGTTAGCTTTGCCATCAGGAAGTGATTTAATGCTCAGTAGCCTGCATTTTACACCCAACAATCATATCAGGTGGGACTCAGTTGAAGAAAGTCCTAGCTATTTTAAGCAGCAAGAAGCTTAATCTGTGAAATTAAGTGATTTACAAACTCAATGGAAAGGAGGGGGTTCTAAACTGGGCTATCAAAATGACTCCCTGAGCAACATTGCAAAATTGGTCTGCCAAGGGAACAGGTTTCTCTGCTACAATCCAGGAACTTGGGAAATTGAAACTACTGTTCCAATTGTGCCCTAGAACCCAATTCCTCTGGGGATCAGAAAACGGCTGTAACAACTGCTCTCTCTAGGAACCTATCTCCTTAGCAGTTACTGGGAGAAAATGACAAAAGACACATCTGACAAAGGACTGTTGTCCTTAAATATGAAAACTCTAAAAATGCAACAATAAGAAAACAATCTGACTTAAAAATAGGCCAAAGGCCTGATAGACACTTCACCGAAGAAGATTCAGAGATGACAAATAAGCCTATGAAAGGGTGCTCCACATCTATGTCTTCAGGAAAATGCAAATAAATCAAGAAACCACTACACACCAAAGAGGATGGCCAAAATCTGGAACACTGACACCACCGAATGCCAGAGAGGATGTGAAGCAGCAGGAACTCTCATTCACTGGTGGTAGGAATGCAAAATGGTACAGCTTTTGGAAGACAGCTTGAATGGGCCGCACTTTCCCATTTCTTTGTGATTCTCTTGTTGAAACTGAGCATTTGATTCATATAATGTGATAACTCTGGAAATCAGATTCTCCTCCTTTCCCATGGTTTGTTTTATTATTATTGTCAGGTGTCTCTAGCCAGGGATCAGCCTGAGATGAAACCATAACATCTTCTGTGAGCCTTCATCTTTTCCAAGGCATTTAAATTCCCCCATATATATGGTTGTTTTTTAATGTCCATAAAAAATAGAGGTGGCTCCCTTAAGTGCTCTGGAATCCCCCTGAGCCAATGGGGTTGACACAGTGATACCCAAACTCTGTGCCTGTACCTCTGCATTCAGAAGCAGCACTCCACAATCAGAACACAAAGTCCTTATTGCTCACCCTGCTCCAGCAAGCTTTACCAGAAATAAAGGTTGCTGTCCAAACAGGAGCCTGCCATGGAACTAGAGGGTGAGAGATGGATAGCTATCACCAACTAAGGACTGAAGTCAGCCACTACTAACTGCAATTTACCAGCCAAGTTTTATCCTGGAAGCTGCAAGTGTCCACATAGACTCCAGAGTTCCAAAGCTGTCACTTCAGACATTTTCAGCCAATGTAATTGTTGTCTAGGTAAACAGATGGCTTTCTGGAGTTTTCTATTCTGCCCTCTTTCCTGACATCAACTTGATCAGTTTTTTGAAAGTTCCTCAAATTTTGGTTTCTGGTGTATTCTTATTAGATTGAGATGATTAATTATTAAAAAGGACACCACAGAGGTGGTGTGTCATCTTCAGCACATCATATCAAGTTACTTAATGTCAATATGTATTATTGATAATTTTAACCTTGATCATTTCCCAAAGATGGAATCTGCCAAAACTCTACATTATAAACTTACTATTTCCTTATAGTTACTAAATATTTGGAGGGGGAGATACTTTGAGATTATGCAAATATCATGCTTCTACTTAAAATTTCATCCACTCGTTTTAGTATCTATCAGCAGATCTTGCTCATCAAGAATTATTGCTATGGTGCTATAATGATGATTTTTCTATTTTCCTCATTCCATATACACTTATTAATTGGAATTCTTTAGTGAGGGAGAAGTGTTATTTCTTTTGAATTTGTTCATGTATTCAGTTAATTACTTATATCATTATGGACTCATGGATATTTATTTTATTATTTATTTTATAATCTAATATTTTATCTTTTTGTTGTTCAAGTTGTTGCAACTCTGGTCATTGAGAGATCTTTTAGTTTGGCTTCTACGCCTTAAAGTTTTTTGTTTTTTTTTAGCACTTCTTTACTTGCTGGAACCATATGATGCTCAAGACGTGTACTGTACTTTCACAACTCACAATGTGGAATAAAGCAGTTTTCCAAGGAACACTAGTTCAATTTTTATGAGTGCCAGGTATATTCATTGTGACTTGACATTGCTGCTTCTAACACAATTTACTGTTTTTTGTTTTTTTTTTTGCTTTTGTTTTTGTTTTTTAATGTTAAGACAACCTTGCATTCCTAGGACTACTTCTCCAAAGTTTATTATTTTTTTAAAAAAATTGCTAGACTTAATTTGTAAATATTTTGTTTAAATTTTTGTGCCTGCATTCATAAGTGATATCTTCCTCTGGCATAACATTTTTATAATCTCTTTGTCCGTTTTTAGAATCAAGATAAGTTGGGTAATGTATGCACCTACTCTAATTTCTGAGAGAATTCATGACTGGCAATTAATTACTAAATTATAGAAACCATTGACAGGCATCATGAAAGAAGGAACTTCATAGCCCTCTATTTATTGGCTGCTTATTGATATTTTCCACTTTACTCATATATCACTTGATGAAGTCCTATGGTACATTATTGGATAGTTTTTAATTCAAGCAAAGGCAAAAAAATTTCAGGAAAAATTCTACTTTATATGTTAGTTTTAAAATCTTAAAAATTAGTTTTGTATTTTTTTAATCTATTCTGTAGACAAAATAGGACTTTATCTTAGTTTCATTTTTACAATTCTTCATTCCAAAACTCGTAAATTACCCCAATGAATCACTGTACCTATATGTTTCAATAGCTCTCATATCTTCATCATCAAATTCATCTTCAGCCTCCTTCAACTGTGCAAGAGTCATCTTTTCATATGGTTTAACTAAAACAATATAAATTGTAAGCAGTTGAATTGTTTAAATATTAATTTTACTTTATAGTCACATGTCTAGAAAAAAGATATATTAGATAAGTGAAGATCAAGACTATCTTTAATGTTGCAGTGTTTGCAATATATAAAGCTATTTTGTGGTTGACTGCTTTATTTTGTTTAAGTATTACTACTCCCTCAGAGTTCACAGAACTACCAGGCTACATTTAAAAGTAGATGTAAAGCCCTAACTGGTTTGGCTCAGTAGATAGAGCGTCGGCCTGCAGACTCAAGGGTCCCAGGTTCGATTCCGGTCAAGGGCATGTATCTTGGTTGTGGGCACATCCCCAGTAGGGTGTGTGCAGGAGGCAGCTGATTGATATTTCTCTCTCATCGATGCTTCTAACTCTCTGTCCCTCTCCCTTCTTCTCTGTAAAAAAAATCAATAAAATATATTTAAAAAATAAAAGTAGATGTAAAAATAAATTAGACCTCAGAAATTTAGATTTTCCCATGTTCCAGGAAATCTTGACAAATAATATATACTATATAGAATAATCAAAATATAAGGTAATCACATGGTAAAAAATTATGATCTAGAGAAAAAAAAGCTCACTAGGTTAGATACCAGGACATTTCAGCTCTGTCATTAACTGGCATGTGAATTTTTAACACATGAATTAAGAATTTTAGGTATCAGCAAAAGTATGGTGGGACATACTAAATGATTTCTAATGTCCTCTCTTCCTTGAAATTCATGAAATACACTATCAGTAACATAACTGTATTACCCCCTTCATCCAGCCCACCAAATGCACAACTATACCCATTGCTTCTTTCTGTAAACGTAAAACCATTTCTTCAATTTCATCTTTTGGCTCTTCTTTTGGAGGAAGAATGCCAAAATCTCTTAAAATTTCATTCCATTCTGTATCTTCATTTGGATCCTATATAAAAATAGAAAACCTATTAACATAGTTGTGTATTTTATTATGTGTAAAATTAATATGTAGCATTTCCAACTATGCCCTGAATTCTACAGGTAAACATATAACCAGTTTCAAAGACTAAACCAAAGCGGCCTCCTTTTTCCCATTTCCCAGAACTAATGGAACTACACAGTTTGATAAACAGGACACATTCTCTACCCTCAAAATTACACTGAGGTGTTTAATAAAAACAAATAATAATTTAGAACATGTCAAATATTAATGAAGTAAATTCAAAAAGTGAAGGAATATTCTCTGGTGAATATAGTAGACAAAACCAATTCACACCATGAACAAATACTGTTTTGTTGCTATTTCCACAAACACATTCAAGACCTCCCGGTGAACTCGCTTCTCTTGTCAGCTATACAGTTTCTTAGGACCCATATTCCCTGGTTAAATTTTAGAAGAGGCCAGGAATCTTTTTATAGTTCCATTTCTGTCTAATCACAATTTCTTTCTATGAAAGTTAGCCTTTTTTTTCTTTATTACTTAAGATTTGATTTTTTTTCCCCCTGCTTTTCCGGAAGTTGTCAATCATATACTAACTATTGTTTCTCTAGTTTGCCATCCATTTTTTTTTTCTGATATTTCCAAAAGAAGGGAGTGAATACTGTGGCAAACAAAGTATAAGATCACCTGAATGAGCTCCACCTTCTGCTATTCACATCCCTGAATAATCTCCTCTCCTTGATGATGGGTGGGAACTGTGCCATGCTGTTACCCAATAGAATATGGCAAAAGTGAAGGAATGCCATTTCCGTGATTGAATTCCAGAGATTGTAACTTCTATCTTGCCAGCACTCGCTATCACTTGCTGGCTTTTTTTTTTTTAAATATATTTTATTGAGTTTTTACAGAGAGGAAAGGAGAGAGATAGAGAGTTAGAAACATCGATGAGAGAGAAACATCGACCAGCTGCCTCCTGCACACTCCCCACTGGGGATGTGCCCACAACCAAGGTACATGCCCTTGACCGGAATCGAACCTGGGACCTTTCAGTCCGCAGGCCGACGCTCTATCCACTGAGCCAAACCGGTTTCGGCCACTTGCTGGCTTTGATGAAGCAATTTGCCATTGCTGAACACTACTGTAGATTTTATAAACATTGTCCCACAAGCCCACTCCTCCTTCCTTCAAACAGGGTCAGAAATAGGACAATGAAGCTGCCAGTGCTGCTCCATGAACAGGGATGTGGGCTGGACTGATGGGAAATATTTAAGAGAAACTGGCTGGCTAAGGTTTAGATTACCATAATGGTGCCTGTCAGAAGGGAGTATATGATGCTTTGAGGAATCTATGTATATAACAAGCCAGCGACCATAATGCCGTAATGACTGGTTGCTATGATGCCCACTGTGGCCAGGGAACGGGTCTTATCAGGGGGTGGGGCCGGCCAGCCAACCTCCAGCGGCCCCCTCCCCTGGCTGGCCTGCCCATGATCGGACTCTCCCACTCCGATCAAGGGCGTGGCCAGCCGGCCAAATGCCCCCCCCACCCTTTTCCCTGCCAGCCCCACCCTCAATGGGCCTGCCCCACCACGGGTAGGCCCACAGACTCTGCCCCTGACTGGCCCCACCCTGATTGCACCCCACACCCCAATAGGGGGTGTGGCTGGCTGGCCAACCTCCTGCAGCCCCTCCCCCTGGCCAGCCCCACCCCGGATGGACCCCCACCATACTGATGGGCCCACAGCCCCTCCCCCTGGCTGCCCTGCCCCTGATCACCCCTGCCCACCCCATAGAGGGCAGGGCCAGCCAGCCCACCTCCCACAGTCCCTCCCCCAGGCCACTGGCCCCAATCGGCACCCCTCACCCCATTCGGGGGCAGGGCTGGCCAACCCACCACCCATAGCCCCTCTCCATGGCAAGCCCCACCCCCAATTGGCCCCCAACCCCAATTGGGGGCAGGGCCCGCCAGCCAACCACCCATGGCTCCTTCCCCCAGCCGGCCAGGCCCTGATCGGCCCGGACCTCACCCATGCATGAATTCATGCACTGGGCCTCTAGTAGTAGAAATAAGAAATCAAGGAGCATAAGGGATTGCGGTGGCAATGTGGCTTTGGCTATGCATGTTGGAGCAGAAGTCAGATTAATGAACTTTGTGGTATTCATTTTTTTAAAAAGAGGGTATTTAACATGGAAAGGATGTAGAACTGAAGACTCAATAGTTTGACTTTGGAAATTTGTTTTTGGTTCCATTGACCCTATCTGGCAAAAAAAAAAGGGGGCTCTCTCTAGCACTGAATTGATGGAACAAATGAAACGCATGGTTTGCATCAATACAATCTGAAAATATTTCCAACATATAGGAACAGGCTGGCTCCACACTACCACAGAAAGCTCGTACTAAAGTGGCAGCAGCACTTAATACTTACAATGGTTCCTGTGGACCTGTGTCCTTGTATAGGATTTTAGTTCCTCAACAAAGAATTACAGCAGTGTACTCTGAAGACCATCAAGCTAGATCTGAGAGGACTGTAGAACCCTCTGAATATGTAACCCTAGGGAGATAGGTTCCTCTATGCTGAAACAGGCCAGTAGTTGATTGGGATGTAAACTGCATACTCAAAATTGAGCTGCAGTGAGAGGAAATCTATTGCCAAGTTCCCAGATATTGTTCTCATCAGAAAAAAAAAAAATCCTCTTGAACCATCTCTTTCCATTTCTTACAGGGAATTCATCTCCGTTATAATCCTATGGGACCACCATCATTTATGCAGTCCATTGTTGACCCAAAAGGTCATTTTGCAGCACATGTCTATATTTGTCCTTTTGTTACTGGCTTCACTTCACATAATGTTTTCAAAGACCATCCATGTTGAAGCATGTATCAAAATTTCCTTCTGTTCTAGGGCTGAATAATATTCCATTGTGTGTTCACACCATAGATTGTTTTTCTAGTCATCCAATGATGAACATTTGGGCTGTTTCCACCTGGCTAATGTGAATAATGCTGCTATGATCTTATGCATAAAATATCTTTTTTAGTTCCTGCTTTCAATTCTTTTGAGAATATACCTAGGAGTCAGATTGCTGGTTCATATAATACTATGTATAATTTTTAAAGGAATGACCATTTTCCATAGCAGTTACACCATTTTACAATCCTACCAGCAATGCGCAAGGGTTCCAATTCCTTCATATTCTCACCAACACTTGTCATTTTCTGTTTTTAATAATAGTTTTTCGAATGGGTGTGGCCTCTCATGGTGGTTTTTATTTACATTTCTCTAATGATTAATGATATTGAGCATGTTTTATGTTTATATTAGCCATTGTATATCTTCTTTGGAGAGATGTCTATTCAAGTTCTTTGTCCATTTTATATTTTATTTTTTAAAATTTAAATTAAGACTTAATATTTTAGGGCAGTTTTAGGTTCACAGCAAAATTGAGGGAAAGGTACAGAGATTTCCCGTATACTTTCTGTCCCCACAAATGCATAGTTTCCCCTGTTATCAATATCTGCCACCAGAGTTTAAGCAAATTCTTCATTTAAAGCCAAAATAAAACAACAACAATTTTTTATTAGGACTTTATTTTGATAGAGATTACACTGAATTTGTAGATTGCTTTGGGAAGTTTTGACATCTTAACCATATTATGTCTTCCAATTTACAAAGGTGTGATGTTTTTCTAGTTGTCTTCTTTAATGTCTTTCTATGTGTTTTGTAGTGTTCGGTGTACAATTCTTTTGCTTTCTTGATTACATTTATTCCTAAGGATTTTATTCTTTTTGATGTGATCATACATGGAATCATTTTCTTAATTTCCTTTTGGGTTACTTACCTCAGTGTATGGAAATGTCTTCATACACTGGATAAAATGTACTTGCTAGAAACCTATAAGTAACACAAAAGGGCTATCCATTAAATTTATATGTAGTTTATGTTTAAAATATCCTAATAAATTAGGTGGTATATATGAATGCCAAAATTAAATATGAAAAATCACAGTAGTTTTAATTTGGAGAAGCAGGTGGGAAGAAACTGTTTCTCCAAGTCAGAAAGTGAGAATTTTACTCTAGTAAAGAAACAAGAGCACAGGCATCTGGTTAATAAGGGTCTTTAGACAGAGCGGAGCAGCCTCGGGACCTAAGGGATCAATGGAAGCCTAACAGAGCTTCTGTGACCGGGCAGGAGAAACTTCAGGGACACCTGGTCTTTTTCAGGAAAGATGCAACCAGTATTTTCGTTCCGATGGTTGTTTAAGGTAGCGGGGCAGAATACTTAAATTGAATTACACTTGGGCCAAAGCTGCTGGTCTATTTCTTAAGTCAGAAATCGTGCAGCGGTGAGATTTCCAAGATTTAAGTGTGAAACACAATCTCAACCAACCCCCAGCGACAAACCTTGGGGGTGGGGGGGTGGAGATGGTGCTCTCCTAGAGTTAATTTGGTTGTCTCTCAAATCTAGAGACTCACGCAAAATTTAGCTCTTACCAAAAGTAAACCTTAGTTAGACCCAGCCCCGGTGCGCCGCCCTCCCTTGGGCGCTCAGCCTCAAGCCCAGCTAGGAGCTCGGCCGGTGCCCCGGAGTGGCCCGCGGCTGCGACTCCGACCTGCATGACGTTCAGCCTCGACCTTCAGGTGACCGCGTCCTCAGACCCCTGGCGAGGGACTCCTGACTCGGACGCCTCCTCCGGGGGCTGGGGGCGAAGAGAGCCAGCAGCCGGGACAGCGGTTCCCACCGCCACCCCGAGCGGGAGGGGACCACGAGCGCTCCAGGGCACGTTGACTCCCGTGCCTCCAGCGCAGCTGTTGCCAGGCAACGCGGAGGCGGGGTCTAGGGGTGGTGCGGGCGCTGACGCACCCGGTGCTGGGGTATTTATCCCAAGCTGGGCCTTTCCTGTTCACCACGTGGTCCCGAGGGCTGGCATGCCTCCCACCCTTCTGCACACCGCCACCAAATCCATGCGTTGTTTCTGAGCCCTCCGACACCCTTCAATCCCTGAGTCATGTCTTCATGGAGTAATAATAAAATCCTGGGGAGAGAACCCTTCAGAGGAGAAGTTCTTAACTAAGAGCCCATAGTCCAGTGATGGCGAACCTTTTGAGCCCGGTGCGTCAGCATTTTGAAAAACCCAAACTTAACTCTGGTGCTGTGTCACATATAGAAATTTTTTGATATTTGCAACCATAGTAAAACAAAGACTTACATTTTTGAGACTTATTTTATATATTTAAATGACATTTAACAAAGAAAAATCAACCAAACAAATGAGTTCGCATGTCACCTCTGACACGCGTGTCATAGGTTCGCCATCACTGCCGGCATAGTCTGTTTGGATGGATTTTACAGGGTACCTAGTCCGCAAGCCTCAATTGTACACATAATTTTTGTTGTATGTGTACAATTTGGGGGGAGAGGGTGTGTGTGGAGTTAAGGACCAGAGCTTTCATCAGATTCCCAAATGACTCTTCACCCCCATCTTAAAAACGCAGGGCACTAGGAGACAGAAGGTCTGACTTTAGGTAGGAAACCTAGATAGTTGGGTTCCTTGGTGTTTAGGTTAAGAAAATGTTTAGTAGGAGCTGCCAGGATCACGGGATAAACATTTGATGTTACTGCCAAATAAGCTTATATACAAATGGTCACAGAGATATTCTGATAAGATTTGGAGAAAAGAAAAAAAGATGTTTTTAAGAACGCAATGTTAAACTGGGATAGTTTAACATCTGTAGTGCTCAATTAATACTTAATAAAAGTGCTATACTCCCTGTAGCCTATGTGTTTTGTGGTGTGTGTATATAAGATATTAATGTGTTAAATATAAAATATTTTAAAACATCTCACAATTTTTGTAACTATGTTTTGGTATTTCTTCTTCTTTATTTTAATATCATGTGAGCCCTAAAACATGTCAATGGCCTAAGTCTCCGGATTTCTGAGAGGCCCTGGGAACTGCTGGTTAAATTAGTGTTCCACTCCTTTTTTTAATTTTAATATATTTTTTATTGATTTCAAAGAGAGAGAGGGAGAGAGACATAGAAACATCAATGATGAGAATCATTCATCGGCTGCCTCCTGCATGTCCACTACTGGGGGTCAAATAAGCAGAAATAGTTTGAAAATCTAAGTTCCTAACAGATGAGCATGTGGCTGGACCGGAATTGAACCCAGGATGCTTTAGTCCACAGGCGGATGCTCTATCCAATGAGCCAAACCAGCGAAGGCCCACTCTGTTTTCTTATTTTAACAATCCAAAATTCATGCTAGTTGATTACTATGCATATCACTACCTATGCATCTGTTGCTTTACAGCAGGAGGCCCTCTCTGCTTTCAAGTCCCCAACTTTTCAAAGCAAATCATTTTTCAAAGATGAATGTACTTTTTGTCCTATTCTGCTCCGTTCTTTACCTATGTTCTTCATACAGATTGAGAAGAAGTGAAATTCAGGGACTTGACTAGTATAAGGCATAATTTAAACTATAGTCAGTGGTCAACATTAACCAAGATACTCTGCTCTGATGAATATAATACCTAATCCTATCTAGTCAGAGCCACCCTTCGGTCATCAGCCAGCAACCTGCTTGGTGGAGTAGGTGGTTATTCAAGAGTCAAGTGTCAAAAAGGAAAAACCCAAGGGAACCTGAAGGGAGATAATCTCAACATCTGAGGTTAATTCTGTGTCCACCAAACACTGATTTGATGTAAAAAGTTCTAATAGTATATCCATGATCCTCTAGTAGGAAGACTGTTTTCTTTCTGATAATGGACAAGACTGGTTGCCTTTTAGATGTTGCAAGATAAAATAACTTATATTAAGATAAAGTGAATACTACTAGTTGGTAGAAAAAGCTAGTCCCTCGATAGGTTTGTAGCAATCAGATGTCAATTTTACATAATATAAATCAGAACTTGCTTATTGGACTATTGGATGGATCATAGCCAAATTCCCCAATAGGTTTAGTTGGTATTCCTCCAGCAGGTTTATTTGGTATTCACAGTCTTAAGACTGTTAGCTATTGGGCATTCTGGTATTTATAAGAGCTGGTGAATTTGTTACTGACAAAATCCAAATAGGATAAACTAAAATAGCTCATTAAAACTCAACTCTCTACTGAGTGCTTTTAATAAAAATAACAAAAGGGCATAGGTATCAGGACTGTCAAAAGCTGCAGGGATCAATGGAACATCATTTTTACAGCTTTCTTGTACACTATCATTGCAACACTTAAGAAAAGATATTTTAAGATGCTCTTTTAATTTTCAACAAATTAGACATTTATAATCTCAACAGACTTTTACTGAGAATGTTTACAACACAGATATTCTCAAACATGTTAAACTTAGCAAGGATTGCTTTTGAGAAAAGAAAGCACACAAAATACCAGTATATTTTGTATTCCATGGCATTGCTTCTATGGAAAATAGTTGGTATTCTGTAAAAAGAGAAAAACTGAATTCAGATTCAAGTATAAATGAGTATGTAAACATGTATATAATGTTTGTATATAGACGTTCCTATAAATATTTTGTCATGTATGATAAAACTGACACAAGGTATTTCTCAGCTTTTCTTCAGTTTATATATTTTTATCATTTAATCTTTTTAATCTCTCTTTGCTGGAACATTTACTCTGTATGTCTGTATTTCCCAAAAATTTCAGTATTTAACTATATAAAAGTGGCTTGTAAAGCTCACTGATATCAACAAAGCTTATGAATAAAATATTTCAAAAGTTGAACAGCTGTTCCTCGTGTATTTATTTCCTTATGTATTTGCAGTTAAATCTTCCCGTTATATGTGTAACTACTTTATAAGTAAATATAAGTGTTCAGGACAAAGTTTAAGACTTCAGATAATCAGATGAGAAAAACAAAGAAAAAGTAATTATTGAACTGTTTTTTTATTGACAAAATAAAATGAAATCCTGGGTGAGTTAGTCTGTATAAATCTGAATTTTGGAAGCAACCCAGATAAAGCTATTTTTCTCAGCTTCAGAGAGAATATTTTACTAAATTGATCAAATCATAGAATAAAATCTATTTCACATTTGTGAGCACACTAATACTTAGTTTGATGTTACAATCACAGATTTTTTCCATTAAGTATTAAACTATTTTTTGTTCACATTATGTAAATGCCTGTACAATTGTAAAGTATTATGAAAGATAGTTTCTTTTCCATAACTCTTTGTTCTTATTTCCTTGAAAAAA